TCACTGAGAAGAAAGCTCTGAAGAAAGCTCTGAAAATGTAGCTTCAGGGTAATGCAATTTAAAGGTGAATATGGCATCAGCTGTGCCACTCTGAAGTTTTTAAACCCTCCAAATTTTGATCTTCTCTGTGCTCTTTGCACTTCCTCAGTTGTGTGAGCTGCTTCTGTGTGTCTGTGCAGCTCCTTGGGGGGACTTAGGAGATGTTCCCAGGAAGCAAGAGGGCCTGACATGATTGGACTTATTGCTTGGCATATTTGCCCACCATGGAAGGACTCAGAAATGCTGAGGGGGCTCTACCTTCCCACTATTTTGGAATGCACAGCCATGCCAATGAATGTCTGCTGAGCTGGGCATGCAGGTGCACACTCACCCATGGGCATGGAGGGGAACATTCCTGCATTCAGGAAACTCCCAGGCACAAACACTCATCCATAACCAGGTCCAATTCACATCAACACCCATTCACTGCACAAGGACACCCAAAATACTTGTGCTTGCATTCACACTCTTCTTCCTCCACACATGGATTTATGTCTGGACACTCTCCCGTGGATTTGTACATCCAAACACACTCAGGGACATGGAGTAAATTAATGGAATGCACACACAAATGCACACCCATGCACACTCACATATATCTTAACCAAAGTTCTGGTCTGGGGAATTCCTTTTCAAGAAATGAAAATAAATGCCAAAAGGGAAAATAAAAGACAAACCAGAACTTGGGGAGCTGCACAAACAAAAGCAAGCACATACCTACACACACACAGTGGAGGCTGTCAGGCAGTCAGGGCTCTCCTCACAACTACAGCTCAGTGCCTGCTGGATTTGCTCCCCCTGGGTGCAAATGTCTGGTGAACCTCACAGATTTTTTAATCTGTCTATGGCTGCAGGTCAAACTGGGAAGTCTCATCTTCCCTTCTAACTGATCACAATAAGAACTGACCCTTCACTCCAAGAGCAGCACCTTCCAAGATCCTACCACAAGCACTCTTCAGCTTCTAAGGAGTTCAGCAGAAATATTTTACCTGCACCTGACCACTCTGAACATCTCCTATTAATCAACGGAGCTGATTGGCATTTTAGGGTTTATTTTTTCCGTCCTTTGCAGACCCCAGGTCTCTGAGAACAAGACAAGACAGTGTACAGAAACACAGGGCAGGGCTTGCTCAAAGCCACAGACAGCAAGGAAAGCAAGAAGCCCCCGAGGAGAGGGGAGAAGTGTGTCTGATAATCTGCCTCACTCTGCAGGGGGAGATGACAAACCCTCCGTCCAGGGTGGGCTGCTACTTCCAAAGCCCGTTTTCTACAGGTGTAACATACCGAGTGCTGCTAGCAGGGACGGAATCTGACAGGACAAACCGACATACAAAACATTCTCTTATTCAATAAGGGTTATATATAAAGTGCAAAGGGATTTCAGAACATTTCAGAACAAACTCAATCCGTAGCTGCCGCTTATTTATCAGTGCGTCAAAAAGGTTGTGCAAGTTTTTAGTAACAAACATTAGAAACTAGTAGCAAAGGACTTGCCTAGATAAAAAAGAGAAGATTTAAACATGCCAGGTAACAAAAAGACGTGTGCAGAGATCTGTAAAACTGTATAGAAGGAAAGGGTTCTTTAGAGGAAACAGAGGGACCATCACACAATGCTCTTCACTGCCCTTACAAAAGAGTCAGGGCCAACCCTGCTGCCTCCTCACCTAACACAGGTGTTTGTTGTTTGGGCAGAGCCATGCCCTGATTTTTTTAGGCTTCTATAACTGAGACCTGGATTCTGAGCCTCGCCTGGCATGAACTTGAATTGGGAGAGAGAGCCTTGTGGCTGGCAATTAAGCACAGCAGCACGGGCAGCCCTGGAGACTGAAGATCACAAGCAGCTGCAGCAGCATGGCTGTCTCGACAAGATGCTGAGAGTGAATGTGATTTATTCTGCTTAAATCCCATGTCTGGGAGCTGGGTGTCTAGACAAACCTAACAAACCTAGACACTCACCACTCACTGGTGGGCAGCTCCAAATAGCAATTTATTTCTCTGTCACAGACATGTCCAGGGAGGGGAGCATCCCTCGACTCTAACAGCAAGAGGACACCTGGGTGACTCTCTTCCTCTCAAAAAAATGGAAGATAATGAGGAGATTAACCTGAATTTCTTCAAAAGGACTCACTGGATTTTCCTGCAGTCCAGGATTTCTGACTATGCACCAAAACACAAGGATTGCCTTCCTTTCTGCCACAAGACTTTTGTATGGATTTAAGTACCTCAGTCATATTTAAATCATGTCTAAATATGATTCATTTCCAGTTAACTGTGTTTATTCCCTCCAGTGCCACGTACAGTTCTCCCTCTAGGGATGAGAACTGCATTTTCCACAATCTGAAGGCTATTGCCAGGTTCTCTACTTGGTTTGCTTGTGAGAAGTGTGGCAGAGAAAAGGTTTTCATTTCTCTCTTAAAAATTAACAACTTCAGCCTCATTGTAACATCCTCCACCAAAATCAGCCTAATACTAATATCTACCTAGTGACAGGGTAACCAAAATTGTTTAAAACATTCTGTGGGAAATATTGTAAACAACTTTTTGTGTCCAGAAAGTAGGACATTTGAGAGATGCAAAATAAAAGTTCCTTTTTAGTTAAAAACTTTTTTCCATTTTTTCAAAAGGCAAGGAAAATAAACTAGTTTAAAAAAATAGAAATTCATTTATTCAAAATCAAAATGTTACGGCTTGAATAAATATTCCTGTTTCAGAATTAAAAAAAAAAAAAAAGAAAAAGAAAAAAAGAAAAAGTTGAAGAGAAGTTAAACTAGAACCAAGATACGAAAATATTTTGTTTGGAAAGTTCCAAGTAAGGCATTTTTATTTTTCAAAATGCTGCCTAATATTTTTTCTCTAAACACAGCAGTGAGTGAAAAGTATGCTGTCACTTCTCTGCTTGAAATGGGTTGCCTTTAGAGTACACAACAATTCCAAGATGGAATATTTATTCAACAACCACGAAGTTTTGAAAATTCACAACTAATTTGCTGCTCTTTAACATATTTACAGCAATTTTCTTTCAATCTTTCTATTTTCCTGGCCTTTATAAGCTGAATTTTTCGGTGTAATTTTTGTCCATGCTCATAAACTCATCATAGTATTTCTTTTGGAAATCTATGTGTTTCCTGCATGTCCTTTGTCTATTTATCCTATAACTCTGTATGCATCCACCTCTAAAATAGAGATATAGGGGAAAATTTGCCTGGTGTGATTTATTTCCTGCACACCAGATGCTCATTTCAGTCTCTGTGGCTCTCTCAGTCCTTTCACCTGTCTGCTGAGATGGGTGGGAGTGGGGCCAATCAGTGCCAATGGGGCTGGTGCATTTTGAGAGATGGATCAAATTAAAAAATAAAAAGGGGGGGATTGGAACTCTGGTGCTTTGTTTTCCTTTGGGATTTCTGCTTCGTTTTTATTTTACCTAGCCTTTTAAAAAATTAAAATGACCTCTTTTCAGTTATTTTTCACATTTGAAATGGAACGTAAGGAGCAGGTTCCTCTAAGCAGAGATGATTTGGTCTTTTATTTCCTTTGGAGGAAGCCTGAGTGAGGAGGCACAGGGAGGATTCCTGTTTTGGTTCCCTCAGTTCCACCTCGAAAGAACTGACCTTTATCTCTCTGTGGGGTGGAGAGTATTGAGCTGCCATGGGAAGCAAAGCATAACACTGGGCAGACCAAAGTCCTCTTCAAGCAGCTTCCCATGGCACAAAGAGCTTTTCCACTTACACTCCACTTCCCATCACTTTTCCTGCTATACAGTTTAATTCATGCCAGGCCGATTATGAAGGGAAGAAAATGATGCAACAGTTAAAAAAAAAAAAAAGTCCTTTAAGTCGCATTGGCCTTTGCCAGAAAAACACACAGCTACAACTGCAGGAAACACAACACAGGTTACTGCAAATATTAAATACAAAAAAAAAAAAAAAAAAAAAAGAAAGAGCTTTGAAACGAAACTAAAAAGTTCTGAAAATAAACTCAAAAGAAAGGAGGGAAGGGGAGGAAAAAAAAAATAA